GGGGGCGGGGCCTGCCCCGCCCGCCCCGCCCATCCTTCCTCCGGCGCTGCCAAGAAAACGGCGTGGGGACTGCAGGGAGCCCGAGAACTGGACCAATGGGGTGAAGGGAAGCCGTAGACCCCGATTTTTTATTTTTTTATCCTTTCTGGTGCCGACGCTCGGTGGCGGAATCGAGTTTTGAGCTCGAGGTAGTTAAAGTTTAAATTGCTGTTTCAAAAACAGACCCCACCCCCACCCCCACCCCAGGCCCAGGCCCAGGCCGCCGGAAGCACCCTGCCTGGAAGCCGGGGATTAAAGGGAGGAATCTCCCAGGATCGCCTGGGGCCCTCTGCGCCACGCCTGGGGGTGGGGTTGCTGCAGGGGTATGAGCCAGGTCAGCGCCCCTCCAAAGCGCCACTCGCCCCCTACACTCCCACCACCTCCACCTTCGACCCTCCCCTCCCCCGCCCCCGGGCTGGACGGAGGCGGGCGGGGCCTGCTGGTTGGGAGCCTGTGGCTCTGCTCCCTGTTTGCGCCTTTTTAGCCGTTTGGTGCCGGTTCGCAGTAACTGTTGGGAGAGCTGGGGAGTGATAACGGGGCCCAAAGGGTACCGACATTTTATCTGCTCGGGACAGGCTGAACACGTGGCGGAGATCACCGCCCCTCCCGCGAGCACCCGAAAGGCTAATGCACAAGTTCTCTTTGTACCAATAAGCACAGCATGAGCCTAGAAAAGGAACCAATTATTTTAGCAATTGCCAAATCCATGAACAAAATTCTCCGATGACTTCTTCGGGTCTATGTAAGGCCCAGGCTAGCCAACAACCGCATAGCAATAATAATAACGATGCACGGGGCCAGAGCCGCCCACGGTGGGAAGGAAGAGAACTGAATGGCCTCCTGTCACTGCCGCCCCAGAATCTGCTGGAGGGGCGCCAGCTCGGCAGCCCAGGCGGCTCTTCCTGTCTCCCCTGCGCTCCAGCCCGCCCCCTCCCCCTGCGTCTGCAGGGTGTCCTTCCCGGCAGGCTTCCTTCCGCCCGGGCAGTCCCATCCTGTTGATCGGAGCCTGCGGGGCGGGAGCAGCCCCGGGCACCTGCTGCCGCAGAGGAAGCTCCGGTCTGTGCCCTTCCTGTCGGGGAGCCGTCCTGGGGTGGGCCACAGCCAGCCCTCCGGGTGGGTCTGAACCCCGTCCCTCCCTCCCTCAGGACCGTGGGGCTGCTGGCCTGGTGCCCCAGCAGGCTGAGGAGCAGGGAGCATTCAGGGCTGGTGGGAGTGACTCAAAACAGGAAAGGAAAGGGAAAAGGGGGAGGAGGAACAGCGTGGTGGCGGCACAATTCCTAGAGATTCAGAGAAAGATGTTCCCTGGCCACCTCCCACTCGACATAACCAAAACTCAGACCCTGGTTGCTGCTCTTCCTGTATGCACTCATTTTTTTTTGGTTTGTTTGTTTTAATATATTTTATTGATTTTTTCACAGAGAGGAAGGGAGAGGGATAGAGAGTTAGAAACATTGATGAGAGAGAAGCATCGATCAGCTGCCTCCTGCACACCCCCGACTTGGGGTGTGCCCACAACCAAGGTACTTGCCCTTGACCGGAATCGAACCTGGGACCCTTCAGTCCGCAGGCTGACGCTCTATCCACTGAGCCAAACCGGTCAGAGCTGCACTCATTGTTTCCCACGCAGCCTTCGCCTTCTCCCTCAAGGCCCTGGATCCACGTGGTCCCCAGAAATGTCTCTCTTCTCTCCCTCAAACGTTGCTCTAGGTCAGTCTGTCATCAACGTCCCCTTGGCTTAAACAAACTGCAATCTCCCACCCCAACCCACCACCACCCCAGTTCCTTTCCGGTGCCCAAACTTTCCACACTAGGCCAGAGTGGCTTTTTGAAAGTCATGATCCAATCGTGGCACTCCCTACTTAAACATGACCCTTGGCTCCTGTTGCCTAGGAGACAATAGGCCATTTCATTCAGAGCTCTACAGTGGGCCCCCAGCTTCTCTCCCTACCCTCCCAACCTCATCTCCCACCCAGACATACCCCTGCCCACAGCCATAACAAATGACTAGCTCTTCCTCAAGCATACGGTACACTTTCATGTTTCTAAGCCACCTACAATGTGTTCTAGTCCCTGGGCATTGGGACAATAGCAGCGAACAAGAGCGGTCCGCTAATTATATACGTGTTTTCCGATGGTCTTAGGCGACCCCTGTGGAAGTGTTGTTCAACCGCCAAAGGGGTCGCGACCCACAGGTTGAGAACCGCTTAGATTCTAATGAGAGGACAGGCCAATCCAAGAGTGCATGTGAGTAGAGGGACGAAAAGTGAGGCAGGAGGAGCCAGAGGACTGATGAATGTACAGGCCCCCATTTCAAACTGAGACTGTCTTTCAAGTGCAGCAGGAGGCCTAGTGTCTAGGAAGAAATGCACATTTTTTATCTATGAGCTCCTTTGCCACCTTGTTGATACCGATTCTAATGAGAGGACAGGCCGATTTTGAGAGTGCACTTTAGTAGAGGAAACAGCTACGAGAGCAGGAAGGAGCGTGCCCTGTGTGGCGCACTGTGGCCTGAGGTGAGAGTGTGCTGGGGAAAGGAGGAGGGCACAGAGCTGGAAAAGTGAGGCAGGAGGAGCCAGAGGACTGATGAATGTACAGGCCCCCATTTCAAACTGAGACTGTCTTTCAAGTGCAGCAGGAGGCCTAGTGTCTAGGAAGAAATGCACATTTTTTATCCTATGAGCTCCTTTGCCACCTTGTTGACACCTTTCTTGATAACTCAGAGAGGAATCCATCGTTCTCCTCTACTCCTCCACACCTCCATGATCAGAGCAAAGCACGTGCACACCTTATTGCAAGAAGTCTTTTACAAAACTAAATTTTGCCGGTGTTCCACCCAGATCCGAGCTCCTTCAAGATGGTGGCTATGAGCTCCTTTGCCACCTTGTTGATACCTTTCTTGATAACTCCGAGATGAATCCATCGTTCTCCTCTACTTCTTCTCACACCTCCATGATCAGAACAAAGCACGTGCACACCTTATTGCAAGGAGTCTTTCACAAAACTAAATTCTGCCAGTGTTCCACCCAGATCCGAGCTCCTTCAAGATGGTGGCCACGTCAACATCATCTTTCTGGCTCAGTGTCTGTTCCAGACAAGGCACTCAAGGTTTTTAAACGGGTAAAATGAAACTAGGTCGTCTCTGAAGACTCCCTGGGGTTGTAGATAGAATGTGGACTGGTGCCTAGGCAGAAGTCTGGGTCCTTCCATGCCTTTCCCTAGCTTGTATCACGGCAGGGCCAGGCATGGAAGTCTCATCTTGGGCGTGAGTGAGAGAAAGCCCTTGGGCAGGAGTAAGCAGTCCCTCAGAGATGCCACCTTTCCTGCTGATGGGCTGGGTTCTCCTTCGGTCAGAATAGTGAAGGAAGTGGGAGGAGGGGCTGACAGTGAAGATGCCGCAGGTCAGTTATGGATATTAAAGCACATTGTACCCAGGAGTCACCTCTGTTCCTTCCAGCCGGTGGGTGTCATCAGCATTCATCCCTTGCCCCACCATGTACCAGGGACGAGCTGAACTCGGAGGAACAACCATAAAAAAGACACAGCTCCTGTGTTGAAAGAGCTTCCAGTCTAGTGGGAGAAGTAAATACTAGTAAGTGAGCCAGGCATGACTGTAGAGTGGTGAGTGCTAAGAAAGGGGTGTGCACAGAATGTCCTGCGAGGGCCAAGGAAGGGATCAGGGAAGGCTTCCCCCAGCTGACCCTGCGGGCGGGAGGTGGAGAAAAGAGAGAACTTTGGGGATTCAGGATGCTCTAAACCAGCCGTGGGCAAACTACAGCCCGCGGGCCGGATCCGGCCCGTTTGAAATGAATAAAACTAAAAAAAAAAAAAGACCATACCCTTTTATGTAATGATGTTTACTTTGAATTTATATTAGTTCACACAAACACTCCATCCATGCTTTTGTTCCGGCCCTCCGGTCCAGTTTAAGAACCCATTGTGGCCCTCGAGTCAAAAAGTTTGCCCACCCCTGCTCTAAACTGTCTGATTACAGATTAGAGAGGTAGGATGAGGAGCTCAGGGTGTTAAAGAAAGCAGCCCAGAACATAAAGGGCCTTTGTGTGCCCTGCTAAGGAATGTAGATGGAGAACTTCTATCCAGAGGATACTGGGGACTTACCAACAGGCTTTAGCCAGGAACGATGCTATAGAAAGCTCATGTGGGCCCCGTGTGGAGAATAGACAGGGGGGGGGGGGGACACCAGTGAGGAGGCTTTTGTAGTAATGTAGGCAGGAGATAGTGTGACACCAGAAACTAGCAGGATTGGGTCATTGATTGGATGTGGGCATGAGGACAGGGAGATGTGGAGGAGGACTGCTGGGTTTCTGGCTTGATTCACTGGACGAAACAGGACAAAAACAAGACTCTAAGCTCAAGGAAGAGACCCTGGGGAGGCAGGAGCTTTCGATGGGAAGAAAATGCCAAATCTGAATGAGAACATGTAAAGATGAGATTACCTGTGACACATCCAAATACAGATGCCCAGGAGGCAGTGGGAATTTCAGGTCTGGAGCCCAGGAGAGAAAGATCTGGGCTGGAGATTAAAATGTAGGAGTCGCCCTGGCCAGTGTGGCTTAGTCTGTAGGAGCGTCATCCCATACACCAGGAGGTCTCAGGTTTGATTCCCAGTCAGGGCACATGCCTGGCTTGCAACCAATCCATGTTTCTCTCTTACATTGATGTTTTGCTCTCTCTCCCTAGCCCCTCTGTTTAAAAATCAATGACAATGTCCTAAGGAAAGGATTTAAAAAGGGGGGGAGGGGGAGTCATTAACATGTAGGTGGCAGCCAGAGGATTGGATAACATCCCCTAGGAAGAGCGAAGAATAAGAGGTAAGAAAACTGAGGGTGGGCAGCCGGGGAAATACAGGCAAAGCGAGAAGGTGACTGGGAGGGAACAGCACAGGGTGAACTATTGGCAAAGGGTGACACAGCAAGTACTTTTTTCGTATGCACTGCACGTAGGATTTCTTGGCCTAATGTAACAAAATGGCGACAAGAGGCAAGCAAGGGCTGATTCAGAAAGTAAAAGTGTCAGACAACCTAAAAAAAAAATTATCCCCTCTGGTGATGATTATTAGTTTTTTTTATTATACTTAGTTACCATGGTTTTTAAGCTCATTAAAATATTTATTTTTAATTTTGAACTCTTTAAGTAGTTTTTTTTTTTCTAAAGATGGCTACAACACCTCCCATTCCACATAATCTTTTCCAATGGGACTTTGCCATTCCTGCTTCAAGAGGTGAAGTTGATTTCCCCAACTCTTTTTAAACAGTATTTTTAAATATATATTTTTACTGATTTCAGAAGGAAAAGAGAGGGAAGGAGAGAGATAGAAACATCGATGATGAGAGAGAATCTTTGATCAGCTGCTTTCTGCATGCCCCGCAGTGGGGATCGAGACCACAACATGGGCACATGCCCTGACTGGGACTTGAACCGTGACCTCCTGGTTCATAGGTCAGCACGCAACCACTGAGCCACACCGGCTGGGCTGTTTCCCCAACTCTTGTTCCGGGATTCGCTTTGACCAATAGAATCCTGGGTGGGCACTGTGGGACTGGGCGCCTACGTCTTAGGAAAGCCTTTGATGTTTCCGTTTTCACCCTCTTGGGAACCAGCCACTAGGCAGAGGTGCTTACGGTGAATTACTGAATGAGAGAGAAAATGTGAAGAGAGAATGGCTACGGGAAGAGACCAGGGCACCCCGACCGACAGCCAGGACCAAGCCTCCAAATGCAGGGCCACCTGGAAC